AATCCACAAATTAATATTTACAATGGATTGACTGTAGTAACACTGAACCTACCTAATTAATACATTATTATTAAACACTCATTAAGCAATTGATTTCCACTTTTCTGATGTGATATGTGATGAGAAAAGGAAGAAAAGCGAGTTTGGCAAAAGACGAACTCGAACCCAGTCGATCGTATCGGTCATTACTCCTCAGTGCATTACTCTCCAACCCCCCCACTGCAGACACTGAATGATGATGTCCAACGAGATGAAATGAACATGACACGAGTGTATTTATTCTCAACTTTTTTCTTGAAATGTAACGACTTTTTTCTCGCAATTTAATGAGTTTATTCTCAACATTTTATCTAGACTTTTTTCTCGCAATTTAACGACTTTTTTTCTCGAAATTTAATGAGTTTAATCTCAACATTTTATCTCAACTTTTTTCTTAAAATTTAATGAGTTTTTTCTCGAAATTTAACAACTTAATCTCGAGATGGTTTTATTTTTTTATTATTGCTTGGCCCAAATCCTCTTCCGTAGTATTTCAACTAATTGCTAAGGCAACATTTCAAATTTTCATGTAGTTCAAGTTTTTATCTAATAATTTTTTTAATTTTATATAAGCTATATTTCAATTTACTAAAATGTTTTTATTCGTAGTTTTAGTTAAGGATAATAACACTGGTGTGCTGATGTGAATATGAAAACAGAACGCAGAAGATTGCTGTTCATTGTTGATATTCACATGCAGCTCTGTGTGTGTGTGTGTGTGTGTGTGTGTGTGTGTAAAAAGGTGAGATGTAATGAATGGTGTGATATTGAACATGAGCTCATGCTGTATGCTGTGCTGTGGATGTACACACATTGTGTGTGTGTGTGTGTGTGTGTGTGTTTGTGTGTGTGTGTGTGTGAGTGTGAGTGTGTGTGTGTGTGTGTGTGTGAGATGTCACGCGTCTCAGTCTCACGCAGGAATGGTCTTATTTACATGCACACGACTGCAGGATTGTGCCAGTGAAGCTCCAACACGTCTAATTGTCAGGAGTGACGTCTCATGAAATTCAAATGTGTAATGCCTGCGTGAGATTTGCTCCGCTGGCGATTGGCTCCGAGCAACCTGTGAGGAAAAGAGCCATTAAAAACAGAGAGTTTCTGAATCTGAATGGATTTTAATTCTATTTTAATAGTATTTGGACACTTACAAATGTCTGTTAGATACAGGAGATCACGTACAGCAAGTGTCTTTTATTGTAAAGAAGAAGCATAAACACATTTAAACATTTGATAAAAAGGTCAGATCTGGTGATGAAAATTAAGTATCTGTGAAGTGAAGAAATGAAGAATCCGTGTGTATCTGCTGGATCTTTTCACAAACATCACCTCTGGTGTTTTACTGATTTTAGTGCATGTACAATATTGGGGAGTAACTCGTTACATGTAACGGAATTACGTAATTTAATTACAAAATAAATGTAACTGTTTCCTGTCACAATTATGCAAGGATTCGATTTCAAAAACAGTATCATAGCTATTAAATGGTTTCTTGTTATGATTTTAAATCAGTATTTAACCTCAGAATGATCTCAAAGTACAGTAAAAAGAGGCACGAAAGTCTGATTTTGTGGTGGCTGTGCTTTAAAATTCAATGATTATAATCTTAATTCAAGTGATGAAGGATTGTGAAAGTCTGACAGTAATCAGTGTTGAGGTTAACCCTGCCTGCTTTACATGTTTCAAAATGATTAACAGTTGAAAACATTCATTAGAAATGTAATCAAATGTAATCAGTTACATTACTTTAAGTAATTGAAATAATTACACTACTTATTAGATTTTAAGTAGGGTAACTTGTAATCTGTAACCAAATCCCAACACCCAGCAAACACAGAATGTTTTCACAAAATGTGAATTTTTTTGGGAACCAAAAAGTAACGGTAGGGGAACGTTAGAATAACGTTCTGGGAACCAAAAACTAATGTTCTGGGAACGTTAAGAAAACTGACCGTCTTCAGCTTCAACATTATTCATTTAGCAGTTAACTTTGATATTTTGCTGTGATATTTTCTCTAACACTCGTGAGCAGTTTTAAGTGTTATAAAACAGAAATAACAACATAAGAATACATTAGCACTGTCAAAAGATTCTAATAAATATCTTTTGTGTCAAGCTGTGTGTGACACTGATAGTGGAGCGTTCGTCAATCAATCAAGACTCCAGACATCCAGCTAACAACTTTAGGTCATACAAACGTTGTGGGAACATTGTGATTAGAATGTTATTTAAAGGTTACAAAATCATTTTTAGAACGTTCATCAAGTACAAATAGCATGAGCAGGGTTGCCAGGTCTACATAACAAAACCAGCCCAATCACAGACAAAACTAGTCCAGTCGCGTTTTGGGGGAAAATGGGTTCCACCTCAGTCGAAATCACGTTCTTTTTGCTTTAACCCACAGACTAGAAACACAACCCATGGCAGCTGTATAAAAGTATCCCAATTCTGCGGGAAAACCACGGACTTGGCAACATTGATCATGAGGACGGTCAGAGAACAGTGCATCCACACTATTGATTAGTTTTTAGTCACTGTAATAATTGCCATTTTAATCATACTAATGATAATGCTGAATAATATCCTGTGTCATGTCAGTTAATGGCAATATTTCAGACATTTTCAAGTGTCCAAATCCAGTGTATGTCAGCATGAGAATAAACTGAACCCTGAAACTGTTTGTGGAAAGGGTCCATCTGCAGCCCTCCGTTTCTCCAGGTTTTGCCCTTTTTATGGCTCTTTGAAGTTGAGTAACAGTGCATTAAGGATAGAAAGGATCTTCAAAGGTTTTCTGAGTGCTGGCGGTGCCCTCCTCATCCTCAGTTCGAAGAGCTTTTAACCTTCAGGAGATGTAGAAGAGTCTTCATCTGTGCCAAACGAGTCCAGTTCTGACGATCACGTCACGTGTCTCTAGATGTGCTTGATAAATAAACTATTTATTCATATATTTATGATGTATAAATCTCAATTTCAGAAAATTGACCCTTATGACTGGTTTTGTGCTCCAGGGTCACATATAAATTGGTTGTGCTAACAGCTCTATAAACTGAATATATTGTGGTACTTTTCACGAAAAAGAAGAGTCTTTCCAACATGAAAACGAATCCGGTAGAGCCGTGTCATTTCTCAAGGGTATCGTACAGTAGACACATGAAACATCAAACAGACTGTCTCCAGAGAGGAACAATGAGAGTGAAGTTAAAAAGAGAGAAGCACCCCTCAGATCAGACGCGTGACGCCGTTTTGTCATCTTAGAGAGAGACTCCTTCAGAAGATCCGAAGCGTTTTCTAAAGCCCACATAAGAGCCACGAATATTCAAAACGATACGAGACTCCGAGTGCATTAAACATCTCTCAAATCTGGACCCACGCTAACCGTGTGGTCTGTCTGTGTGTGTGTGTGTGTGTGTGTGTTAATGTGTCTGGGCTCCCCACTGAACACTCCTGCCTCGTCTAATGGATTAGCTTTATGAGTTTGCAACAATTGTAAAACATTGGATTTATTTGCCTCTGTGGAAATATAGCAGCACCTGAGTGTATTTTAAATGGCTGTTCTGCTGAGAATTTTGTGGCTTGTGGTGTTTGGATGGGAATGGGAATATAACCTAATTCCTCAGATATTGAATAGATTAAGACATCTGCGCTGATGTGCTAACATTATTTAGCATTTCTCAATACAATAGTGCAGCGATCTCACAGGACACCTCGCAGCTTCATCCATGAGTGTAAATGAATGCATAGTATTTGTCTCCTTTAGATATCAAGACGGTAGTTTTATCTGAATCTGTATTGCAGATTAATCCAGCAGTCCTGATTTTAAGCATGCATCGACGTGCGCGTTGCTGCTTAACGGACGATTCACAGAACACGTTTTTGCTTTGAAAAATGAGAGGAATGGGGGGAAAATGCAAGGTCTCAAGACACGTTTTTAAAACAGTTGAACTTATTTTAACTTGAGCGGCATGTTTTTAGAATGCCGTTTCATGCACAAGATGCTGCAGAAGACAGCAGACGTAGGGTGGCCATGCGTGACATTTTTACGGGACGCGCCCTGGCCAGGATTTCTGTATTTGAGGAGTTCAGATGCAAAAGCCTCTAAGTTCTGTTTGAAATATTCTTCCAAAATGAGCGTTTTTATCAGGCTCCTATGTAATTTCACTTTAATGCCAGTGAATAAGTTATTTTCATTGCCATTAAAGTGAAATAACTCAAAATAAACATTGGAGCCTGAGAAAAATGCTCATTTTAGAAGAAAATTTCAGATGGCACTTAGAGGCTTCTGCATCTGAACTCTTCATTTGGCTCTGTTTTCATACTTGCTAAAGGTAATGATCGACCAATAACGTGCAGGTATTGTACATAATCGACCAATCGTGGCGCGTGAGAAGGCGGGATCTATGGAGAACGGTCAAAGCGATGCAAATATGTGCACATGTTAGGTGTGTTCGCTCGACTTGGACCGCTGCGCAGACCGATTGTTGTATGACAGAAGTACAGCGAGCGCGATTCGAAAGTATAACGAGCCGTCTGCTCTCTATAGCTCTCGCAGATGTCATACAGCGATCGATCTGCACAGCGCAAACAGCCAAAACCTGGATATTTTAGGCACTATAGAAATCCTGGCAAGGATGTGTGCCGTAAAAATGGCTCATGAATGCAAAGGTCAAACTTATCCATCTAGTGCGTGTTTGCATTGATAAAACGACGGGAAAGCAGTGCAACGAAATGGGAAAACGCATTCTGTGTGAACGGCCCTAGTTTTGCATTCTAGATCAACTTTGGGAATTGTGTCGTTTAATAACACATTGCGAAACTCTGTTTGCAGGGGTGATCCATGAGACGTTCCACCGAGACCGCGATCAGATGGTTCCCGTCACGCTCCTGGCCATCGCTGTCATCCTCGCCTTCGTCATGGGCGCCATCTTCTCCGGCATCGTGGTCTACTGCGTGTGTGACCACCACCGCCGGCGGGACTTCGAGCTGCCCGGCCGCAAAGATAAGGACTCGGTTCAGTCCAGACGAGGCTCCATGAACAGCGTCACCAAGCTGACGGGGCTCTTCGAGACGCAAGCCAAGGACGGACGGACAGAAGCCATTCTGACCCCGCTCATGCACAACGGCCGCTTGGCCAACGGCAAGATGCTCATCAAAGCTGACCAGCACTTGGATCTGACCGCTCTGCCCACGCCCGAGTCCACGCCCATGCAGCCGCGGCGCAAGCCCAGCCGAGGCAGCCGCGAGTGGGAGCGCAACCAGAACCTGATCAACGCCTGCACCAAAGACTTGCCCTCCATGGGCTCTGTGGTCATCCCGACGGATTTGCCTCTGCGGGCGTCTCCGGGCCACATCCCAAGCGTGGTGGTGCTGCCTTTGCCCCAACACCAGCATGAGTATGTAGAGCAACCGCACCGCGGAGAGCTCGCCATTGACCAGGCCGCCACGCTGGAGTACAAGTCCCTCAAGAGCCCAAGCTTGGCGGATGGCGAGAGAGCGCCTCCAAGAGTCCCCCAGCGAGAGGCGTCTCTAGGAACCATGGTTCCTCAGATGGGCAAGAGGCTGGACGTGCATTCGTCTGTATACGGCCGTGGCTATCCCATGAGCTCGGGCCTCAAGAAACAGCACAACACCAACTCGTCCAACTCATCCCACATGTCCAGGAACCACAGCTTCCGGTTGGAGACGCCTCCTCCGCCCGCTCCACAGCGGGTGGACTCCATGCACGTCACCTCTCCGCCGCCGATCCTCGGTCTGTCGCGCCATCCCAGCCTGAGCTCATACGGCTCTCTCCCCAGGCATCTCAAGCCTGATGTTCCTCCTAAACCGAATCTGATGTCCCTTTCCACAAAAGCCAAGTCCGGAGACTCCTGCACATAATCGAGCGCAGCGGGATGAAAGACGGGGAACGTGAAAGTGCGTCTGCTTTGTACAGCTGTGTACAGGAAATGCAACTCACTTTTCTTTATTTTGTTTTGTATATTTTGTAATACATGTCGAGCTCAGGCTGATGCGTCTCTGTTCCCGGAAAAAGGAGGAACTCCGGCTGGGAAGGTGCCGCATTGTTGCCAAAAGCACACCGGAGACGGGCGCGGAAGCTACGAGAGACGCCACGGATATCTTGGACGCACAGATGGGAATAGAAGCTGGAGTTTACAATGGAAAACTGTGAAAAGCCGTCGCCTGGACAAAGCAATCGAGTTCTGCATTCGCGCAAGAGTTCAACACGTCTACTAAAAACGTGACTGTTAATACTAATCGCAGGTTGTATTTATTTTTTAATAAAGTGCTTTTGCAGAGAGAGCGTCTCGTTTAGGCTCGACTGAGATGGGAATGATCGTTTTAGTTTGAATTAATCTATTTAAAGTCATTAAACTGGAGCCAGTACTTCTGTCCACTAACTCTTGCTAAGCAAAGTCAGAGACGACTCTGGAAGCCTCCGTACGGAAGGAATATTCCTCGAGCCGTGCCAGAGGGACTTGTGGGTAGAGATTACAGCCCACAGGTTGACAGGAGCTCCTCAATCTCACCTCTTCGTAGAAAGTCCATCCGAGTGCCATTCTCGCCGCACTTGAGACGCTTTCAGACGTACGGTTTCCTCTCGTTCATGTCCAAACAAGCCTGTTTTTCTCCTTCCACCTGTAAATGTGTGCCTTACACCCCTGAGTAGTGAAGCGTTTGTTAGCTGTTAACTGTCGTAGTTCTTATGATGGCATTTGTTTCCCTCGTTTGATTATAAAAAAACAAAAAAACACGTAATTGAAGAATGTAGGTGTTGTCGACTCTGCTCCCTTTGCTAACCACAAATGACTTTGTGCTTGATTTCTGATTGTGCCAATGAATCGTCGGAGTCGTGCTGGAAGAATGTTTGATTTTGTTTTCCTTTGTCCTTTTTTACTTTTCACAAAGTCAAGATGATGTTTTACACTGTTTGTAGATGACTTGTTGTGTGTGTATCTGTCGAGGCAATAAGAGAAAACCACACGAACGAATGACGTTTCTCCCAAACACACACACACACACACAAGCTTTCTAATGTACACAATCAAACAGTTTTTAGGCAGTGAATACAGGCTGGCTCCTGTGTAGATATGCACTCCGATAATATTAGGAAACAGATTAATGTTTTCAATGTTTGTGACAGATTCCGATTAATATAATTTTCTAGCTCTATGGTTGTGATGTAAAATGAGGGATTGTTATTTAACTATTTTGACACGTTTTATTGAACTTGACGTCCAGGATTCTAGTTTTGGCATTGTAGATGTTGAATTCACCCAACTCTCGGAGCGAACGGAGCTCGAGGTTCTTGTGCTGGTGCCTTTCTAGATGCCTCTAGACTTTGGAAGTGGAGTTTGTACTCTTGTATGATATGGTTTTGTCACCGGCCCTCTCCCACATCTGATTCACAGCTAAATGTATGTTGTAAAGAAATCCTCTTTAATAAATGGAAAAAAGTAATAAAAACATTTCAGATTCTTGTCACAGAGCTTGTGTTTTTTGTGAAACGTGAGATGGTAAGCGTCGTCACATGAGGGTTTGGCACCTCCGCAGCAAAGACTCGATTGTTTGGCATCTCTAACCGTGAATAAACACGCCGATAAGAATCGCTCTGGAGCCCCGAGTGGCCCTTCCAGACGCCCGTCTTCAGACGTGATGACAGAAGGTCTCTGTGCCTTTGTCTCAACATGCTGTTTGCTCAAGGCTCTTGTCTTCACTGCTCTTGGTTACTAACTACCCGCTTTGTGTTCTGTAAACAGAGACCGAATCAGCTGAGATCCACACATTGGCTTTGACCTCCAGAACCTCAAACTACGCTTGCGATGCAGATCTGAGCGAACGCCGCTGATTCACAGTCAGAAATCCTGAACCTCCAGCATCTGATATCTGCTAATGTTGTAATCTGCCGCTGTCAGACTCACTCGTGTAGTTGAATAAAGCAGCCGTTTACTTGACGTCAGCCGCGAGCGGATAACTAAAGCTGGAGACAAACCTCACAGAAGATCCTGAATAAATCACATTCCTTTTGAACCCTACAAGCGCTGTATGATGAGAGGATGAGTCTCGTAATAAATCACGTTCATAACCCGTGACATTTCACTCTCGAGATGTTTCACTGCAATCCCTGTTCATATTTTCATTGCAATAAAAGTCAGATTTTAGATACATGTTCCACAGGCAAAACATTGTGTTTTTATGCACTGGTCATTTTTTAGATTTGCGGCTGTTTATGGCTTTTCATAAAGTGTTTGTTTCAGACTAGTGGAGAGAAAACATCCAAAAGTGTTTATTTTATTGCACTTTATCTATTTGCGTCTGTAGATTTCAATATCCAGTCCGTATCTTTTAAAGAGTTTTTTCTCTTACAAACACCAAACTTCACCGTTTTATTCCTCTCTATATTCTGAAGGTTTGTTCATATTTCATTCACACTGATTTATACAACATTTCACTCCTAAAAACAAGGTGAAAATATATTTGTTTTCTGTCTTTTGACAGTATTTTCTAATTTATGGAGTGATAAAAAGTGAAATCCAAAATCCCCTTTGGAAAAACCTTTAACCGGCAACAAAATCAAAATGTTCTGAACCCGGCTTTATTCAATCTTCAGATATTTATGTGCTGGTAATGTATGCAAATTATTGCAAAATCTACATCTGCATTGACCCTGGACCACAAAAAAACAGTCATAAGGTTCTATTTTTCTAAACTGAAAAGTTTACTGAACGCCGAGTAAATAATCTTTCCATTGATGTATGGTTTGTTAGGATAGCACAATATTTGTCTGAGATACAACTATTTGAAAATCTGGAATCTGAGGGTGCAAAAAAATCTAAATATTGAGAAAATCATCTTTAAAGTTGTTCAAATGAAGTTCTTAGCAATGCATATTACTAATCAAAAATTAAGTTTTGATATATTTACGGTAGGAAATTTACAAAATATCTTCATGGAACATGATCTTTACTTAATATCCTAATGATTTTTGGCATAAAAGAAAAATGTATAATTTTGACCCATACAATGTATTGTTGGCTATTGCTACAAATATACCTGTGCTGCTTATGACTGCTTTTGTGCTCCAGGGTCACAGATATGCATTTGGCTGATGCTTTTATCCAAAGCGCCTTACATTGCATTCAAGTTCATCAGTAAATGCATTCCCTGGGAATCGAACCAATGACCTTGCCATTGCTTGCACCACAATCTAACATTTGAGCTACCGCAATATTTGATACAATTAAAAAAAAAAAATTGCAATTAAGGTAATCAATCAACTGTGTAAGTGTGTGGAGATCTGTTATGTGTCTCGTCTAAGAGTGAAAGTGTTGATGGTGTCAGTAGTTCATCACACACTTTCATGAGACTCTGACTGTAACTCAACCGTACAGTAATGATGAAGATCAGCACCAGACTCAGTTTAACGGCCTGTAAATGAACGAGTGAAAGTATTCAGACATGTTTACATCTGAAATGAGCAGTTTTCCAGACCACGTGATGTTCAGACCTCCGGCGTGGAGTAAATCCCTGGACCGCGGCGATGGAGGGATGTAAGCGGGGATAAAGCGGCTGGCACCGGGATCAAAACGAGATGCTCTACTTTGCCTCGGCTTGTAAAACTCTCGGGCATAAAGAGTGTGACGCTGCTTGAGAAGCGTGAGTTTGTTCAAATCCCTCCAACCACAACAAAGCGAGACCCTGTGAGCCTGTGCGAACGCGTTTCTGAGCTCAGTCGTGTGTCAGAAGGCAGATCATCTGTGACAGGCAGCAGAGTTTGTTGGGAGTTTTCTGCTGAAGGTCGTGACCTCGTCTCCTGAAGAAAGCTCGCTTTGAGTCCGCCGTGTTTTATCCCAGAATGCTTCATCTCTGCTGCCAGAAACCAGCCGTTCTCAAGCGTTTTATCAGTCTGTCCCAGCTAACAAGCAACATTTTAAAAGTTATATAACTGTTAAATAACATTCTTAAAGTAAAGTAACGCACTTATAACTGAAATTTACCGTTCTCAAAGATGAGAGAAAATATTCTTAGATAAACGTTTCCTGAACATGCTTTTGATGTTGTTTGTACTTTACATAGCCTTCTAATCACAACAAGAAAACTGAACATTTAAATGTTCTTAGAATATTAAAAAATAACTTCAAATAATGTTATATTTGGGTGAAAATAAAGTTAGCAGAATGTTGTAAGAAACATTTTTGTAACCTTTACGTAACGTTGTAACCACAACAAGAAAACTGAACATTTTCTTAGAATATTAAAATGTTAATATTAGAATATTAATGTTCTTAGAATATAAAAAAAAAAATGTTCAAATAATGTTATATTTTGGGTGAAAATAAAGTTATGAGAATAATTAAGAAACACTTTTGTAACCTTTAAATAACTTTATAATCACAACAAGTAAACTGGGCATTTTAATGTTCTCAGAATATTAAAATAAACGTTCTAATTACGTTATATTTTGGGTGAAAATATATACAAAAGTAAACATTTTTGTAACCTTTAAATAACATTTTATCACAACAAAAAATCTGGACATTTTAAAATAATGTTCTCACAATGTTCTTATAACCTAAATTTGTTTAACCCCTTTATTTTTATTTTATTTTATTTTTTTGAAGTTGCCCTGAGATTTCAAGCTAATATTTTGATAGTTTATCAACACATTCACACGTTCAAAGAAATATTTCATTTTTTATTGTTTCTGTTTTAGAATTATTTTAAATGTACATTATAATTAGCTGATCAAACCGTGGTTTAGGAAGCTCAGATTGCTCAGATTGTGTGTTTGTCTCAGAGATCTCAGGATCAGCTGCTCTGGAGGACGCCGCGCTCCTCTTAAGAGCTCAGTTCAGCCCGAGCTGAAGGTCAGATGGATTTTCTGTCTCCGAGGAAATGATTTCCAGTGCGGCGGCGTTGAATCCTGTTAACAGCAGCACTTCAGAATGAGTGATTCCGTCATTGAACATGAGAGGACGCGGCCTAACGACTCCATGCTTGATTACTGAGCTTAATTAACACATTTACAGGATCACTTATATTACTGTTCCTATTCAAAAGCATTAATGCTCTCATCGGAAATGCATGAATATAGCTGTGTATATATGAGACCCTGGAGCACAAAACCAGTCATAAGGGTCAATTTTTTTAAATTGACGTTTATACATCATCTGAAAGCACAATATTTGGCTGAGATACAACTATTTGAAAATCTGGAATCTGAGGGTGCAAAAAAATCTAAATATTGAGAAAATCATCTTTAAAGTTGTTCAAATGAAGTTCTTAGCAATGCATATTACTAATCAAACATTAAGTTTTGATATATTTACGGTAGGAAATTTACTAAATATCTTCATGGAACATGATCTTTACTTAATATCCTAATGATTTTTGGCATAAAAGAAAAATGTATAATTTTGACCCATACAATGTATTGTTGGCTATTGCTACAAATATACCTGTGCTGCTTATGACTGCTTTTGTGCTCCAGGGTCACATTTGTATACATGTTCATATAGTGCTCAGCATTTGATTTCAGTGAAAGTCTCACCTCATTGACACAAAGGTCAGAGGTCAGACACTCATTCATGACACTGAGGATCCCTGGAAAGGTCAGTGGGAGGAAGTGATGTCACAGCTGATGTGTGTGTGTGTGTTCTCATGTATGTAGGTTAGTGGAGCTAAAAAAAGAGCAGCAGCAGCTTCATCCATAATGAATGAGCTCCTCCCCCTCCATCCCAGGTGTCCTATAGCTGTGACACGATTTGCATACAGCCCGCCCACTTTCATAATCATGCTGACAATGCAGGGAGATAAACACACACACACACACACACACACAGATGTTCCCTCACCTTGAGAAGATCCTCATCCAGTTAAGGCAGTGTCAGTGAATAACGATCATGAGTGTGACCAGATGGTGTGTGTGTGTATGTGTGTGTGTGTGTCTGTGTGTGTGTGTGTGTGTGAGTGTGTGTGAGTGAGTGAGTGAGTGAGTGAGTGTGGTGAGTGTGTGTGTGTGTGTGTGAGTGTGTGTGAGCGGCTGAAGGGTCATTGTGAAGCTCCTCAGTGATCTCAGTGTTCGGATGAAGGCGTCTCCAGTGTCTTGGAGCGAACGGCTCGTCCTCCATTCTTCACAAACACTGGCTCTTTCTGTTTGGCTCTCCACTCAATTCTTTCTCTTTTCTCGTTTGGTTTACGCTGCTCTTGCCCTCGAGTCGCATCTGCAGAGAGCATCAAGAGGCGCATTCACATGAACCCGGCGTGTGCTCGCCCGCTATTGTTTTAGCAAGTTTATGACCTCAAAGTGCTTGCAGACGGGATTATATCATCGGATAACAGACTGACATGAAGATCTCCACAGACCTGATCCGTCAGCACTGAACGTGCATCATCAAGGCATTAATCCGAGGTGCAAGATGACGTCATGGGGGCACAAACATTTACTTTTCTAAGATTTCCAAGATCACGCAAATATGCCGTTTTACTAGCATTAACAT